CCCCCCCCCCCGCAACAAGAACCAAGCCTTGATCCCAATATAATGAGGTCGACCACACAAGGCAATAGAATGTCCCGAGGTTATATACTGTTTCTGAGATAGTGAGAGCCTTTTTTTCATTTCCTTTTTGTCATGTATGATGTACCATATGCTCACTTACCCTCAATGCAGTGGTGTCACTCTTTACAGCCTCAACCCAAGCAGTTTTCGGTCGATCCAACTTCTCTTTAAGTCTCTCACACCTCAATACTCCACTGTTGTACTGTGGCACTTCTTGACGACTGACATGCCAGAACCAACCCAACCAGTTCGCTCATTACTTTTTTTATTAGCGGCTACACCCAACTTCTAGTTTATTTCCTTGGAATGCATTTTCTAGTCTTACCACACATCCACCCTAACATATGCATCTCTGCATCACTCATCTTATAATCAAGTTTCTCTACATTGCCCGACATTTAGATCCATTTAATAAAGACAGTCTTATAGCTGCAATAAATTGTCCCTTAAATCCTTAAATCCTAGACCTACAGTACATTTCTATCACAAAGTACTCACGTTGCTCCTTTCATTTTGACTCAGTAAGCATTGATCCTGTGTGTCACATCTTTCCCAATACATTCATTTCCTCTTATCCATAAAAAATCACTCACTTCGTTGACAAGAGGAACAACAAGTCAACGACAACAAGAAACTTAGTAAAAACTTACATAGTGTGGGGTCTGGGGAGGGTGAGTGTACACAGATCTTGCCCCTACTGGGGAATTACTTGGGAAGTAGAGACACTTTTTCCAAGAGGCCCCGATTCAAAACAGAAGGATCGTGGAAAAGGTTAACGAAAACAAAAAAGAAGGTAAAATAAAGAAGACAAAGGTGAGGGGCCCAAGAAAAGCAAACACACACATAGATACAACAGTATAAGACAACATGTTCTACATGAGGGCATAACACTACTGAAAACCTGCCATAATCCTTTCCCTCCAGAAACTTCTATCTATAAGGCCATATCTTTGGTTAGCTCATGAACCCGTAAGTCATGTCTATCCACCTTGCTCCAAGTCTTCTTAGGTCTACCATTACCCCTCCTCGTCAAATCCACACTTGATTTGATGTGTAAGAAGGTCCATGCGGTCAAGTGAGAGGAGAGAAGTGAAAGTGATTTAGGATTTTAGATTGAGATATATGGAAAATTATAACATTATGTTTTAATTTGTTTAACAATATTACCCCTAAATATGTTTAACAATATTGCCCCAAGTAGGCAGGTAGGCTAAAGGCTTACAAAAATGCATGTGTCTGCCTTCTTTTGTTAAAGAGGCTTTGTGAATAGATTTGCCTTGGCCAAGAGAGCCCTCAACACCCAATAAGCGGTTAATTTCTATAAAGCAATATAAAACGTATACTCCCTTTGTCTAAATTTTGCTGTCCAAATTTCCTTTTTGGTGCATCTGAAATTACATGTCCACTTACCGTGTTTAGTAAACTAATTATTGTTTGAATAATCAAAAATACCCTCCAAAGAGCACGTTAGCATTGTTGCCAATTTGCCATCAATGAAGCAAAAGCTAATTTCAAGGATCTTTTTTTGTTATTTTATCTCATTCCATAAATTTGAGGTTTTACTGAAAGTTGATAAGAAAGCATGAGAATGTAGTATAAATATTTGTCCCTGACCTATAATATTCCATGAATTGTATTAAAAGATGGATCACCTATGTTGTTGATCATTCAGAGATAATTGCAAACTGGTTCTCTGACATATCAATACATTTCCCCAACCTTGTTCTATACACCCTGTCTTGTAACTTCATGGTATGCCTCATAAGCTTTGTTCCAATCTGCTTCCCCCCCCCAATCGTTTGGCATTTTATTTGCCACCCTGTACTTTTTACTTGCGTACTTTGTTAAAAATGTCTATGAGCCATCAACTTCTTAAACTCGGTCCATTTGTTTGATCTAGTGTTTAATTTCTTTTTATCAAACTATGGTTGTGCAATACATTTTTTTTATTATTTAGTATTCTTTTTTTAACATAGAATCTACATTCACAGGCATAGTTTGAGAGAAGTTCTGGATGCCCCTAATGTAATGAATATGGTTAAAGATACCAAAGCTGCAAAAGAGGTAGTCTTTTGCACATTGTTTACCCCGTCTTTTAATTTCCCATTTTTTATTAATGTATTTTAATTTTTAAATCATGTTTATCATTTGAATTATTCTTTTGGAATTGCTGAAACTAACTTCCTCCCACTTAGGTACAATCCCTCAAGGATTTCTTCAACATGCTTTCAAATGTTAGGTTTCACCCTTGGTCTATATGAGCTCTTTCACAATACTATTCAAGTGATGTTTGTGATTTACAATCTTGATGTATTTAATTATTTTTATTATTTATGACAGGAGCCGGAGCGTGCTTGCTACGGACCAAAACATGTTGAAGTTGCTCATGAGCGAATGGCCATCCAAACACTTCTCATTACAGATGAACTCTTCAGGTAAAGTTTGATGTCTAATGAGCTTTCTGTTGTAGCTTCATCAATAATTCTATGCACTACTTTGCCACCTTATTTTTTCGTACTAATATAAGGTGTAACCTAATTGTTGAAAATCATATTCTTCTTATTTTTCTTCTTTGGATCAATCCTCGGGATATTTGGGGAGGGGGAGGAGGGATCCGTCCTCGGTGACATGAAAGATATTTTGGTTTTCCAACCGCTTGACCACCCCCACTTCTTTACAATAATAGTGTGTTTGGGAATTAGATTACATTCGATTATCATCAAAATTAGTTTTTGTTGTTTGGGTAAATTTTTTTTTCAAAAGTGGTTTGGAAGTAATTAAATTTGTTTGGTGTAACGAAAAATAAGCTTTTTACTAGGTAAGTTAGGTGCAGAATTAGCTGAAAAAAGAATTAGGTGAAATGCAATCATAAACCACATATATTTACTTCTCAAAACCATCTGAAATTTGATGTAAATTAGTTTTTCTTTTTATTAGAACACATCATTCCAAACATGGTTTTTTTAAATCAATAGAAAACTTCCCAGTGTTAGTAAAACTAGGGGGCACTGTTTGGTATCATATTCAGTTTCATATTTTCTGTTATTTGTAAACTAACAACAATACGCTGTATTACGAGACCAAAAAAGGCGGGGTTTTTGTTTTTTTTGTTGGCGGTGACTCTCTTTGTTGGTTCATTATACAACTTTAGTCCTAGAATCTATACAATTATAAAACAAAAAAAACTGATAACAGGCAATGATACTATATAAGGGTCTGTTTGATGAGCAAAGCAGGGTTGATATGAGTCCCACAATTTGGAAGAAATGATATGGAATCTCTGTTTTGAAATCTAAAAAGTGTTCGGAAAGATCTGCAATTTGATACAGAAACACCTCCATGGTTGTTAGTGACAGGAAAGAGTGGTTGACGATGATGGCCGAAGGCGGCAGGTCGCCGGTTGTAGTTGTTGGTGACGTTGCCTGGCGGTTGAGAAAGATATCAAAACTATGAGACTGATATCTCCCAAAATTGGGAGAGATATCAAAACATCCCCATTCAGAGGGCTGTGACATTTTAAATCCGAACCCTGTTTAGGAGTCACCAAACACCCACAAAAGAGTTCTGATATTCGGAGATATCAAAACTCATATTTCATTCGCTCACCTAACAGGTCCTAACTCTTTGTGCTTGCATATTTGAGATGCTACGTTTCCATACCTAGTCTTCCTTTTTCATTACATGTTTTTACTTACAACCAAGGAAGGGTATGATATGACGTGTTATTTATCAGGAACTCGGATATAGCAACACGAAAAAAATATGCCAATTTGGTCAATGGAGTCAAGAATTCAGGCGGCACTGCACACATATTTTCCTCTATGCATGTCTCCGGCGAACGTAAGTGTATTATATATATGCTATAGTATATGTTACTGTTATAATATATGTATGAACCAAAAAGCTAAACTTGATAATAAGGGTTTGTTTGGATGAAGAGTTTTGGGAGGGAAGAGTTTGGAGAACTACTCATTCTAAAGTATAGACTAAGCCAATGGCTTTTCATCCAACCAAACACACCCCTGGGAGTATCAAAAGGAGCGAGTATAGACTCGTCTCTATTAACGACTGCATTTTTCAGTTTCAATATTTTAAAACTTATGCTGCAACTTAGGATTATATTTATAAATTCTCCATGTTTATATATAATCCATTTCCATCCGCGGCATATATGCTTTATTGATGTTGAGAAAAAAAATTACTCCATATTTTGAAATGCAGAATTGACACAGCTGAGCGGTATTGCTGCTATACTTCGGTTTCCTTTACCCGACCTGGATGACATAGAGATGTGAGTATGTGACGGAAATCGGACCGAAGGTGGCATTGACTCTTGTAACATCTGTCTAATTGTCCCTCTTATACTCTCACATAAGTAAATTAATAAATTTTAAAAAATAAAAAATAAATGCACATTTGTATAATAAATCATTGTCTATGTGAGAAATGAGAAGGTCCATATTTTTTAGCATATAATATCCATACAAACCTGCAAAATGCATTATTGTTTCACACTAGTCCTGAATCATTGACTGCCATTCTTAATTTTCAATTAGTTTGAGTTAGTGTAATTATAATAAAAAAATTAGTATGATGATTTTACTTAAAACTTATTAATGAAGGATTAATTGTGTGTGTTTCCATTAAACAATAAGGGGGTAAATATACATGTACAAGTGGGCCTGATCATCTAAGTGGGCGGGATACAAATAAACAAATATATAACAAATATATACATGGGCTAACATTTCCCCTCAAGTTGGAGCATGAATATCAAAAATGCCCAACTTGGATAAGAGAGACCGAAAAAGAGGACCTAGTAATGCTTTTGTGAAAATATCAGCTGTCTGGAGACGTGTAGGCACATAAGCGGTGACAACATGATTACGTTGAATACATTCACGGACAATATGACAATCAATATCAATGTGTTTTGATCGTTCATGAACCACCGGATTAGCAGCAATAAACAAGGCAGATTTATTATCACAATAAAGTCTTGGTGTTGCAAAACATAGTACATCCAAGGCAGCAAGAAGCCCGCGTAACCAGCGAATTGAATTTCTGTACATGCATTTGCCATTGCTCTATATTCGGCTTCAGCGGAAGATCGAGAGACTGTAGATTGCTTTTTAGTATGCCAAGAAACTGGAGAACCGCTAAGCATTATGAAGTAGCCAGTCACTGATCGACGTGTCAACGGACAGCTTGCCCAGTCAGAGTTTGAAAAAGCAGTAAGAGTAAGGTCACCATCGCGGTGTAACAAAATCCCTTGACCAGGGTGACCTTTGAGATAGCGAAGAACAGGTAAGGCAACATTCCAGTGATCTAAACGAGGTGCCTGCATGAATTGTGACAAGACATGTACTCCATAACAGATGTCAGGACGAGTAATAGTTAGATATAATAGTCGCCCCACAAGACGTCGATATTTGGTAGAGTCACGGAGCTCAGCACTGGTAGATCAAGACAAATTGTGATTGCTCGCCAGAAGAGTATCCACAAGCTTACACCCAGACAAATTTGCCTCTTGAAGAATATCAAGAGTATATTTTCGCTGATTTAACACCATCCCTGCCTGGGAACGAGCACACTCGATACCAAGAAAATAAGATACATGACCAAGATCCTTGAGATTAAAACAAGTGTCCAAGTACTTCTTGAAAGTAGTACATACAGAAGAATTATTTCTTGCAACAAGAATATCATAAACATAAACGAGGACAACCAACATATCAGGACCATGACGATAAACAAAAAGAGTGCGATCAGCATGAGCTTGACGGAAGCCATAACGTCGTAATGCCAATCGGAGTTTAGCAAACCAATTGCGAGGGGACTGTCGAAGCCCATAAAGTGACTTACGAAGGCGACACACTTTTCCTGGGTAAAGATGGGTATAACCAGGAGGTATCATCATATAAATTTCGTCAGTAAGCTCCCCATGCAAGAATGTATTATTAGCATCCAATTGATCGACTTGCCATCCCCTAGCAACGACAACAGACATCAACACGCGAACAGTGGCTAATTTGGCTACTGGGGCAAAAGTATCAGTAAAATCAACACCGAATTCTTTATGATTACCCAGCACAACTAGCCGAGCCTTGTCGCGTTCCTTGGTACCATCGGATTTATATTTGGTCCTGTATACCCACTGACACCCCAAAGCTCTCCGATTGGGAGGAAGTTCTGTAATCTCCCAAGTATTGTTACGCTCTAAGGCGTTGAACTCCTAAGCCATAACGTCACACCAAGAAGCATACTGAACAGCCTCACGAAAGTTACGAGGCACTAGAGAGGCGTCAATAGCACCGAGAAACCCTCTGTACCTGTCATGCAACTTATTATAATGAACAAAGTTAGTAATAGGGAACCAGGTACCAGATAAATATGAACCAGATGATGAGGAACATAGAATGTCTATCTTTACGGAATGAAGAATATAATCATTGAGATGTGATGGGAGACGACGGGTATGAGGAGGCAATGATGTTTGGACAGTGGATGGCAGAGAGGGAGTAGCGCTGCTACTGTTATCTACCGAAGACATAGACAGTGATGAAGAGGAAGATGGGGACTGACTGGCACTGCTGGTGTTGTCCGCTAAAGACAAAGATGGCGAAAGTGAAGACTGACTGGAGACAAACGAAGGGCTAGTAACAGGTGGGGTGGAGGATGTTGTGGACCCTGGTGAATTTAAGATTGGAAAATCCTCCGAGGAGGGATTTAAAATAGGTTGTTGAGGAGATGGAGTCTTTGTAGGAATGGCGAAGGGAAATTGAGTTTTATCAAAGGATACGTCCCGAGTGTGAAAAAATGGTGTGTCTCAAGATTATATACTCGCTAGCCTTTCGTACCAAAGGGATAGCCAACGAACATACATTTTACACTCCGGGGAGAGAACTTATTTGAAGGTTTAGGCATTTGACGAACGAAGCATAGACAACCAAAGATACGGAGATGATCTAGGCTTTGAGGTTTAGATGACAAGATTTCAAGAGGAGACTTACCCTTGAGTAACTTCGTTGGCGTACGATTAATAAGGTAGACAGCGATTTTGACACATTCCCCCCAAAATTCCACAAGAAGCGAGGCTTGAAACATTAGGGACCGGGCAACATTCAATATATGATGATGTTTTCGTTCGACCCGACCATTTTGCTCTGGGGTACCAACACAAGAAGTTTGAATAGACACACCCAACTCATCATAGTATTGACATAAGGAAGAGTTAAGAAACTCCGTCCCATTGTTAGATCGGACCACTTTAATTTGTTTTGAATATTGGGTTTGTATCATTACAAAAAAAACGTTTAAGACAAGATGAGACTTCAGTCTTGGCTTTGAGAAGATAAACCCAAACGGCCCGAGAAAAATCATCAACAATAGTGAGAAAATAATGGGCACCAGAAGATATACACGCAGAATAAGGACCCCACAAATCACAATGTATTAAGTCAAAAATTGTAGCAGCTTTATTTGAGCTAATGGAAAAACGAGATCGAGTTTGTTTAGACAAAAAACAAATCTCACAAGGCTGTAGCTTTTTGACAACTTTATTGGTTTGATTGGGCTTAAGAAAAGACAGAACTTCAGAGGAAGGATGGCCTAGCCGTTGATGAAGAATGAACGGGTCCACAGTAGCCGTTTGAACCGATATAGAAGCAGGAGCAAAGACATACACTCCGTTTCGCAGATCACCTGTCCAATCTCCATCTTCGACGAACGGTCCTGTATTACACAACAATGTTCATTAAAAATCACATGACAAGTAGTTTCCCGAACTAAGCAACCAACAGAAATCAAGTGACAATGCAAATTCGGTACGTATAACACATCATGTAGAACCAAAAAAAGGTGATAAACGAACACTTCCCTTTTTGACCAATTTAACTCGAGAGCCATCCGGAAGACAAATTGATCGAGGAGCAATGTCCGCAAGATTAAATAAATGAGACAAGTCACCCGTCATATGGTGTGACGCACCGCTATCAATTAACCATTCGAAAGAGGAAAAATGTGTACCCGAATAAGAGTGTGACTCTGGTGTAGAGGCTTCCAACATAGACATAGTCTACTCATTTGCTCACTTATTCCACCATTATTCTCACTGGTGGCTGCATTCACAGTAGCCGCTGGAGAACTACTGGACGGTACACAATTGGGAGGTCTGCCACTGTGGGAAGAGCCGGCGCTACTGCCAGACCGTGCTCCCCCCCTTCCGCCAGCAAAAACATTTCGACCTCCTCATAATCTGAGAACGAATACTTCCAAATTGTTCATCATCCAAACCAAGAAGAAAGTCAATTGTTTTATCTCGTTCAACATATATGTTCTCATGTGACAGACGCTGCTTCGCACTTACACCCTCCATCCAGTTGGGTCAGATGTACCATGAAGTTGATTCCACAACGTAATAAATTGGTTATAGTACAAAACAACAGTTTGCCCCTTTTGACGAAGGTTGTTCAACTCAGATTTTAATTGGTATATGCGCGGTCCATTTGAGCAACCATATCTTTTCGTCAAATCCTCCCATAATTCATAGGCAATTGAATGTGAAACAATACTAGGTTGGATAGATTCATCAACACTGTTAAAAATCCAACTACAAATTATTTGATGATTAGCGTACCATGCCGACATCTCGAGTGCATCATCTGGCTTAGGAACATCATGGGCAGTGAGGAAGACGGCTTTGCCACGTCCACCAAGCGCATTCCGTATGGCCTTCTCCCATATATCAAAGTTATCACCCTTAAGGAGATATTTGGTGAGAGAATTACCGGGACCTTCGGACGGATGAAGATAGTAAATAGATGACGGATCATGTATCAACCTAGTCTTTTTAGGGTTCGCATAAACGTGCCAACAGAATACGTAATGCTCTGATACCATAATGAAAGATTAATTGTGTGTGTTTCCATTAAACAATAAGGGGGTAAATATAAGTGGGCCGGATACAAATAAACAAATATATACATGGGCTAACACTTATTAAGACTTTTAAAAGAAAAGCATGAAATTGGTCTATTTATGAAGAAGTGATGAATGGTCACTTTGCTGAAAGTATCGGTTTCATGAATGCCCCCAACAGCCTCTATTTAATTATTCATTTATTATTTTAGATTTAGTTTGAATTGTTTGTTTTGATTGTGATTTAAGAAAAACTATGCATTTCTAGTCTCGTAGTTGACAAATTAGGCTTTGGTTTTATTGGTAATTATTGTTCCTGTTTTTCAAATGTAGACAATTTAATCGGGAATCATTGGAAGTTTCAAAATTTGCAAGTGAATTTATTAACTACGGAGTATTTTTTCAGTGTCAAGTTAAGTGTTCAGATTTTTTTTTCGTTCAATTTATTAGTTAATTAATTTTCAAATGTAGACCATTTAGGTTCTGTTGTTTATTTGGGTTAGAAAAGTTCACTTTCAATTTTTTTAACTTTTTTCAATTCCTTCTAGTTTTTTCAATTTTTTTTTTTAGATTTTTCTATTTTTTCAATTTCTTCCAATATCTAATTTTATTTTTATAATCCAAATTAAGAGAGCCCTATTGAGAATCATCATATTGTAATTTTTAAGTTTCAAAATTTGCAAGAGAACTTCTTTTGGTTCTTCTCTCATTGACTTTTTGAGAATTTAAGGTAGGAATATTTTTGTGTTGACTTTTGAAAAATACTTTTGATGTGATGAGTAAAAATATGATGTGATAGATACTCCCTCCGTTCCAGAAAGAATGTCACGTTTACTATTCTGGCCTCTCGATAACTTTTGTTTGTTTATTCGTTTTGGTTGACCATTTGATAAAATAAAATATTCTTGTCGCATCTTGTTTTGTAGAGCTTTTCATATACTTTTAAATGGTGTAATTTTTACTTTTTATTACTCTACCAATTTGAAATTAAAGTGATTTTAAAAGAGGTGATATTTTGCACGTCGTTCGAAGTGTTGCAAATAAATTGGGACGAAGGGAGTATATTATTAGTAAAAATGTATGAAGTGATAGGTAGGGTAAGAATTAGTAGAGATAAAAGTCGGTTTTTAATTGAAAAAGGAAAAAGTTTGTAGGACAAAGAAAAAACAAAGGAGAAAGTGTTTAAGGTATGAAGGGAGTATTAAGGCCTGTTTGGGAATAGCGTTAGAGATTAGCATTAGCATTTTGGATAAAAATTTAATGGTGTAGATTACTTTGAAAACGCTAACGCTAAACGCTGCCCGTAGATAGCCTTTTCAAAACGCTAACGCTATTCCCAAACAGGCCCTTAAATAGAGTAAAAAGCAATTTTTCTTTTCCAAATGAAAAGAAATTTTTTTTCCTTCAAACTTATTGGTTCAAAAGTTCCGCTTATTTTATGTTCCCTCCGTCCACAAATAAAGTTCTCATTGCGCGTTACGATGTTTGACTGAAATTATTTTCAAATCATTTTATATGAAATATGGTATGGAATTAAAAAATAAAATTATATATTTAAAAAATAAATGAAAAGATCTACAAAACTAGAGGTGACATGATTATATTATTTTATCAAATAAGACACAAAAATAGGCCAACAAAGTGAATAAAGTTTGACCCTGTGAATAGTGAACGAGAACTTTATTTGTGGACGGAGGGAGTATATTGACACAACATATTTTTAACATCATCTCTTGGCATCCGGTGTCAAGAGATTACACTTGCTTATTTAGAGTTCTCTCGGTGCTCTAAATAAAGAATTGCCGGTTCTTACTCATCTTAATCATCACTCTAAACCCTCACCGCACCCCACAACCCAACCACGCCTACCTTAGACGCCCTTTTACCCCATTCAACATAACATATAGTAGTACTTGGTTAAAAGAATAGCCAACTTAAAGCTCATAAACAGATCTATTTCTTCCTCACTTATTATTATAATTATTATTATCACACAAGTCAAGGGTGAAAAAATGTATAGACATCAACTATGAAACTAATTGAGACACAGCTAAGAAAATGGGCCATGTAACGTCCATCTATGTGTGCCATTGCTTAAGAATTGAGTATTGCTTTTCCCTCACGGGAATTTAATGAATGGCTTTCATAGTGTGTGTGATGTCAACCCCACAAAGTGCCTTGGTAAATAAAGTGAAATATTATATCCATGGAATATATAATCTAATAAAGAATAATGAAATAATATATAATAGAATATTTTGTTATATACTCCATCCGTCCTAATTTATAGTACTTATTTCGGTTTACGATGTTTGACTGAAATTATTTTCAAATCATTTTATATGACAAATGGTATAGAGCTAAAAAATAAAAATTACTTGTTAAAAATACTACATCAGAAGATCTACAAAATTAGTAATGACAATAGTACTTTATTTTATCAAATTGCTTAGGAAAATAAAGAAAAAAAAATGAATGAAGTTTGACTCAGTGAATAGTGAACATGCACTATACATTGGAACGGAGTAAGTATATATATAGTAATTGGTCCTGGTTTTAGAATCTTAATATTAGCAGCAGCAGCACATACATATGTGGAGAACAAGTAAAATCTGAGTCACTTTTGTGTTGGTTGTGCACACTGATGAATCCCATTAATGGGGAACTTTTTTGCGTGGCATTGACCGGTTTATAGGCCATGAAATGAGTGGTTTTTTGTTACAATAAGGTTCCCATGACATTGGATTCCATTGTCATGGGAACCCCACCCTTTTTGTTAAAGGGAAACCAAATGAATAAGAAGAGTCTATCAATTGTGGGATGCAAGAGCATACACCATTCGTCTAATTTTTTTTAAAAAAATACTCATTTTGCCTTATGAGAGATTTAAAATAATGTTGAAAATAAGAATTTGTTTAGATTACATTTTGAATCAAATTATCTTTTCTAAAAAGGAAATTGACGAGCAAAAAATGAGAAACTTATTTTGGGGGATGAAATATATAATAAGATGGGAAATTTTTTGAAGGAAAAGAGAATATGGAGTATACGAATTCTTTTTATGATAGGGCGTATATTAAATGCTACTATCTCAATTTCAAAATAAAAATTTTGTACCCCTTCAAAAGTTCTACAAAATAAGAGATATCAAGATTATTTTATTTTATAAAATAATTAATGGAAACATAAATAAACTAGAGGTATCAAGAGATGAGAGAATAAAAGTATACTTCTTCCGTCTCCAAAAAATTGGCCTACTGACTATTTCAGACTTTCGATAACTTTTTTGCATATACTTTTTCATACTTCATTTGATAGAATAAAATATTCGCGCCATCACTTATTTTATAAAGTTTTTATGTAGTTTTTAAGTATACATTTTTTACTTTTTATTTTTCTTTATCAATTTGTATGCTTAATTAATTTAAAAGAGATGCTAATTTTCAAGTTGTTAATTAGAAAAAAGACAATTGTTTAGAGAAAGAGGGATACTATTTAAAAATTAAATTAACTCTCCTTTCTTTATACATCAAATGGAGAGATTGAAGTGATTACTACACTTTTTTAACATACATTAAAATTAAATAAATGTAGATATAATGCATATTTATATTTATTTAATTTTAGAAAATTTTACTTTAATACTCTCAGAAATAAACTTGTTTATATTAATACTCTAAAATTTAACATATGACGTTGGTATTCTCAGAAATTATATACTTTTACAGTTTTACATCGTTACTCTGCACTCATGCCTCATCATACATGACATTTTATATGCGGACTAAACAATTACTACCTCCGTCCCATTTTATAACGCCTGTTTTGGTTTATGATGTTTGACTGAAATTATTTTCAAACATTTTATATGACAAATGGTATAGAATTAAAAAATAAAAATCTCATATTAAAAAAACTACATCAAAAGATCTACAAAACTAGTCGTGACAATAGTATTTTATTTTATCAAATTGCCAACGAAAATAGAGAAAGAAAGTGAATGAAATTTGACCCTGTAAATAGTAAACATGCATTATAATTTGGGACGGAGGGAGTAATAAGTATGAGTTGCCAACTAATTCAAAAATTAAAACAAAATAAAATAAATGCATTATAACGGGAACCCATTCTCCTCTCCTACCAAATTGGAACTAAAAAACTATGATGCAATAAAATTGAAAAAATAAAGTATTTATATTTTAATCAGATAAAATATGAATAGTGTTTCTGGCAAGAAAATAGAAAACTTTGAAGTTAATACTTTATACTCAAATTTATACTTACTCAATATGTCTTGATAAGTGAAATCCAACAATCTTATAAATGGAACTGACTAACAATTTGAGCACTAATAACTCTATTACAATATAATATTTGTTCATGTATTTCAACCTATTAGGCACATATAATTACTTTCTTCAAGGGGATTGAACTTGTGACATCCTCTTTAAAAGTATAAAAAAATCGAAAGTAAGACTCAAGTAGTTGGACTCTAGTTTGAAAAAAACATAATGATAAGAAGATAAAAATTTGATAAGACATATTCTACCTTGTTTTGAAAGGTAATTTCTATAAATCATTTGTATATTATATTTTCTAAATAATTGTCCAACCTGTTTAGTTTTACTTTTCTCTCCGGAACACTTCAAACAAATATAACTTTGACCGTAAAATATTAATTTCAAAATTTTCTAACTTTTCCTAAAACACAATTCATAATTTACTTGATTAAAATACAAACACATTCTATGTTTTTTGTTTGATTAAATTTAAGTTATTTCTTTTTAAAATGGGGGGGCTAGATCGACTAGTTATAATCCATTTCAAGTATTGTCTTTTTTAGACCAATTAGTTATAATTTATTCAAGTATTGTTTTTTTTAGAGCGGCTAGTTATAATCCATTTCAAGTAGTCTTTTTTAGCTCAAGTGTTATCTTTAATTTTTTATTAATTGTCAACTTATACTTACAAATTATCTAGTCATCATTTAAACAGTTGAGTCCACAAGACGAAATAATGATATAAAAATGTGTGGTTTTTGGTAGCATTGATATCAATTCTTAAATTTGAAAATATTAACGTAAAATCATCAATCTTTAGATGTACCAACAGTGAATTTTTTTCTTTAGTTTTTGATGAATCACAGAATTTAGAGGGGATCAGATAAACACAAAGGGAGGGAGTAATTACTTTTCTTTTGGACGGATATAGCAAAAATCAATGATTCCGATTCTCTGCGCTAATGATCATCATTAAATAAACCCTATAAAATAGAAAGATCATTAAAGGTATTTCGTCCGGAATACTGAATACATACATGCAATCTCAAACATCCTATTCTATCTATGACAGATAAATCCCACCCACAACAGTGTATAAATACCCAAAGACAACGTTGTTGGCTCTTATTAGGACTCCATTCTTTCTGGGTTTTCAAAACCCGACCACAATTCCCATTTTTCCCAAGCTAATTTCTTGACTGGTTCTTCCTGAATTTCTGGAAATTACAGCAAGATGGTGGTGAAGATGATGAAGTGGAGGAGCCCATGGCCGCCTCCTTTGCCTTCTTCCAAGAAATTGGAGGCCAAGATTGGGGTTCTCTGCATCAATGGTCTTCTTGGTGCTGATCTGTCTTCTCAAGGATTTGATCGGGATTTTGGGAGTCTGGGGGTTGAGATCAGGTGGAAGGGGGCGGCGGCGGAGAAGGGGAAGATGATGAAGAGGCTGAGAAGGGGGGGCATGAGGAGGGATTTCACAAAGGAGGGCATTTTCGTCAGTGGCTCTGGGGCTGTTGTGTGGGATGAGCAGTTTATGTGCGAATGCAACTTCTCCCCTGCCAAAGATGACAACTTTCTCCCTTGGGATGTCTCTTTTTCCCTCTTCAATGTGAGTTCTTCATTCTTCTTCTTCGTCTTCCAGATTTTGCATTTTCTTCTCCTTCTTTCCTTCTTTACTTATTTTCTGTGTACTTCATGAAAAAGGAACCAATTCAACTAAAAATTGAAGTTTTTTTGTTTGTTTTGTGTTATTGTGATTAGCATATGGAAATAGGAATTAGATTTATGCCTATGATCTGTTAGTCAAACTTGTTTCTTACACTATGAAGTACTGTTGGGCCACAGAGTCTAGCAGAAACATTCTTTTAGTTTTGAGGGGGTGACCCGGGTGCTCCGGTGCCCCGTTCGTAAAATTGACGGTTCCTACTCCCTAATCCCCGGTAAACGCCCCACCCCGCCTCGACCCGAACACGCCCCCCACCCCCTTCAATTGCACCCAAGTTAGTTTTGACTTTGGAGTCAAATTTTATAAAGGGTAAGTTTACTTATCACTTTTAACTCAAGGGAACCAATGTCATGGGAACCAAGGTGTTTAGTTTTATTTAAGGGTAAGTTTGCTTATCACTTTTACCTCAAGAGAGTTATAGATTCGGTGGCGAGGTAAAAGTGATAAGCAAACTTATCAATTTTTCCACAAAATTTAAGAAAAAGTGAAACTTTATGGTAAAAATTTATGCTGAGAAATAAAGTTTAATTATCCTTTGTTTCTTTCCCTAAAATTCTGAAGAAAAAAAAAGAAAAAATTCTTTTAGGGCAAAAGGGATTTTTTTAAAGAGTTGGACCCACCAGTGAGTGGAGTTTGTAGTCAGCAGTATTGAAGATCTGATGCCTATTGCATTAGATCCATTGACTTTGGGATCTCTCAATCATGGCGCATAATAATACAGAAAAATCCTTTTAATGGAATATTCCATCATCAAATCAAATCTCTGTGATTTTTGGCAACTGTTGATTAGTCCATCCCTTCCTTCCACCAATGCATATACTTCTTATACCAACAAATCCAGCAAAAAATCTCATTAGAATATAGAACTTACCCCTGAATAAAATTCCCACTTTGGGATTCCACTTATTTTAACCAAGGGGAATAATCAATCAATCCTCTGGTCACTGTTCTTGTTCTGTTCTGTTAAGTCATTGTTTTCTTGAAGTTCTTAGAAAGGGGAAAGAGAGCTTTTATACTTACACATTTGCAATATCATCATAGGTGGTTTTGAGCAAGGGAAATACGAAGAAGGCGTCTTCCCTCGCCACCGGATCGTTAAATCTTTCAGACTATGTTATAGCAGCTAAAGAAAAAGATGTTCAGATCAGCATTCCACTTGCAATGTCCCATTCCCACAGTCCAAACACTCCCTTACTTTCACTTTGTGTAAGCACAATGAACACCCTACATCATCCTTATGTATTTTTTTTTGCTTCATGATCTTCAATATATATAGTATGTAACCTTTTCGCGCACTGCAGTTGTCCCTTAGCCTTGCTGAGATGCGAAACGATGATTCTCCTTCGAGGGTAGGCGTGGGAAAAGTGGGAATCTTTAAGGCATTTTCTCCTCGAAGAGGCAGTAAGAGTGAAGACGAGGGTAGTAATGGAAAGAGTTCAATCCAGAGTAGTGAGGATACCGAATGCAACTACGTAGAAGATGCAGACTCAGAAGGAGAAGGGGGGATGGAGGAAGGACAGGACGGCGAGGGCAATTATGAGATTTTGGGTTGCGCGAAATCTCATTGCGTTCGCGAAAGTGAGGACGATCGGGTTTACTACAGCCATCCAAAACCAGATGTTGGGTGCCCCGTTTACGTTGAGGACACAAACGATACCATGCTCGATAATAAATCTATCGAGCAGAGATCCAAACGCGGGATTCTTCTTCCTTGGGGGAAGAGGAAATTCAGCTTCAGATCTTCCCCTAAAAGGAAAGGCGAACCGTTATTGAAGAAACACTATGGAGAGGAAGGGGGTGATGACATCGACTTTGATCGTCGACAGCTTAGCTCTTCGGACGAATCCTCTTATGGGGTATGCATCCACCATTCCCTCCAATGCCCTTTTATTGTTACAGTATCTCACATCAGAAAATTAGAGAAAGACTAATGACTCCTCACATAACATAAATTTATATTGTTCTTCGTGGTGCAGTGGAGATCTGAGGACAGTACAACCAGAAGTCGTTCATCTGTGTCCGAATTCGGAGAGGACAACTTTGAGGTGGGCAGCTGGGAGGTCAAAGAGGTAATAAGCCGCGATGGGGAAATGAAGCTCAGGACTCAGATGTTCTTTGCTTCAATCGACCAACGCAGCGAGAGGGCAGCAGGGGAAGGCGCGTGTACCTCCCTGGTCGTCGCGGTCGCCAATTGGTTCCATTCCAACCCGAACCAGATGCCCATCAAGTCCCAGCTGGACACTCTGATCCATGAAGGCTCTATGGAGTGGAGGAACATGTGCGAGGACGAGACCTACCGGGAGCGTTTCCCAGACAAGCATTTCGATCTCGACACGGTCCTGCGCGCTGACGTCACCCAACCCCTCGCGGTGGTCCCACACAAGTCATTCGTCGGGTTCTTCCTTCTAGAAGAACAAAAACAAGAAGAAGAAGAAGAAGATGAAGACGAAGAAGGTGGGTTTGACGAATTCCTGAGAGGGGCAATGTCTTTCGTCAACATTTGGGACGAGATCTCCCAAGGGAGCGACGACGGGGTGTACATTGTGAGTTGGAACGACCATTTCTTCGTGCTCAAAGTTGAGAGAGACGCGTACTACATTGTGGACACCCTGGGGGAGAGGCTTTACGAGGGGTGCGACCGAGCGTTTATCCTCAAGTTCGACAAAGACACCAGCATCGTGTCGCGTGGCGGGGATAAAGAAGAAGAAAGGGTGTGGAGAGGTAAAGAGGCGTGCAAGGAGTACATAAAGAGTTTTCTGGCAGGGATTCCGGTAAGGGAACTGCAAGTGGAAGTGAAGACGAAGAAGACGAAGAAGGAGAAGCAGAAGAAGAAGAAGAGGAAGGAGGAGGAGGAGGAGGAGGAGGGTCACGTGATGGGGTCTATGATGTCCCTTGTTCATCAACGGCTTCAGATCGAGTTCCATTATACCCAGCAAGTGAGTGGTGCCTGAGACGGGATGATGGATGGATGGATGGATGGATGGATGGATGGATGGATGGATAGAACCAATTAGCCAGCTGATGATAGTCTCTCTTAATTTAAGCACATATTAATTAATTAAATTAATCAATGGGGAGGGAAAATAAGCTGCAATCTCTAGTTAGTTCATTATCATAGTTTAATTTGTTTTATTTTTATTTTATTGTTTGAGGTCAGATGAGAGTGCATTTTAAGTACAATGCTGACCTGATGTCCTTATAATTTATTTTTATTTTTATTTTTTTAAAATTTTTTGGTCTTTGCATATATGATTAAGAGACTGGATAGTAGGCTCTTTTGTGAGATATAGTGTGTACATATCTTCCTCATTTGTGGGTGTTATTTAACCTGCTTTTCTTGATTCACAAAGCATGACGGTGTAAATTGTTATTATCATTATTAATATTTTTATTATCATCATCATCAAATTAGTATGAAATTTAGGTAAAGAAGACAATCTCAAATTGAACTTGCATTGGAAAAATGTTCATACTCCATACGTCTCCATATGAGTAATTTTTAGTTTGTAAATAAAAAAAAAAAGAGGCATTGAAAAAAAAATAAGAAAAACCAAGAGCCTTATTGGAGGTATAGGAAATAGGGATATCCTTGTTTACACACAATAATTTTTCTTTCCAATTTCATTTAAATAGGGTAGGGGAAAAGTGAATGGGCCCAAATAGGACAGAGTACTAAACAATTCGAGACAATGAACTCTTTAACCAGAAGAAAGAAAATAAACCTTATTACTTGAGATTTTCTTCATACTAAATCAGTAAACATAAAAGCTGAATTTATAGGCTAAAAACTCATAAATCATAAGATCATGAACATTACATTACCACTAAAGCCCTGTTTTTTTTGGGGTTTGAATTTTAGAATTGAATGTTGAAAGAAACTTGAAAGGACTGGAAACTGTTGGAAGAATTTAAGTGTTAAAAAGTCAATCAATCAAATGATCATTCAAATAAATATGTAAGAAAATTCTAATTTTGGATAAAAAAAGAATTTATCATTCTTTGTATTTGAGGTGATATGTTATAAATTCGGATAAATAATAGTATTATTTTATATTAATCATATATAAATACATTTTTAAGTCATTGTTGTAAGGAAGTGGAAGGAGTTGGAAGAAGTTGAAAGAAGTTAGAGGTTAGTTTTTCCAACCAAAAGAACAAGACCAAACTCTAACATATACAGAGTATACCTAAAAATTAGAAGATTGTTAAAGACTAAAGACTGATTCAAATCCTCAAAATTAATTAAAATAACTATATTATTCAACATCCTCCTAATTCTAAAAGGACGAGCCTTATCACTGAGAACCCTTCAAAACCAGTTGGATGATCCCTAGACAGAAGAGTTGTCCTGGTACATTCAAAGTCTCTATATTTAGCATAATTGTCTTCAGAGTTGTCAGGAATCGGACTAGATATTAACCCCTTTTACACACATTGTTTTGCCAGCCTTAACATCCCCCCTTAATTCTGATAATGGGGTTTTCACTTGAAGCATGTTCCTCAACTTGATGAGGATGATCGTAACTTGATCTTCAGACCTGTAATATTTCAGTTTGGTTGTATTCTTCCAAGTTTGATTTCTCGAGAAGTGATATTGAATATCTGCATGCTTGTTTCTTGCATGAAAAATTGGATTCTTAGTCAAATTAATACAGAAAATATTATCAACTTTAATTGTGATTGGTCCTGCAGTTTCAAAATAAATTTGGCTCATAATAATTTCAAGCCAAATTGCTTGACACGCACACGATACCACTGCTACATCCTCTATTTCACGTGTGGATAACCCTGCAAGAAACTACTCCCTCCGTCTCATATCTTTCTTCTCATAGCACTATTCCAACTTCATGGGAATTAATATTTATTTGTGTTTTTTCATGGCATATATGATAAAATAAAATATTTTTGTCAATGCTTGTTTTGTTGAACTTTTGGTTTAGTTTTTAAATAAGTAAGTTTTATCCAACAATTTCACACTCTTTGTATGAAGAGTAAAATACACTAAGATCTTGAGTACCTTGAATAATGTTGCACATAATCCTTTCCACTACTTGCAAATGATTTTGTCAAGGTGACTCCATGTAACTACTTGCTTGATGGTACACTAGTTCATTCATCACCGTCTTTAATTTCGTACGTGGGTTTTGAGCAAGTCTCAATGGGAGTTCTAACTTAATTCGTCACCTACTTTTGATTAATAAAGATCGTGCCATCTTTTTGAATGACCTCAATAATTAATGCCCAAAAAGCATGAAAAATGCTAGAGTCACTGTAGTTCACAAATTTCATAAACTTACTTTTTGTAGACTTTAAATTAAAATATCTATTATTATTTGAGTGCATCATATTTCTAGGAAAATGCTAAAAAGCAAGTTTGTGAACTTTGTGAATTGTTTGTTTGTGACTATAGCATTACTCAAAAGTATATAGGATGTGAGACCAAGATCACTCATCTCAAACACCTTCATTAAAGGTGATTTGAAATCATTAATCATTTATCATCTTGAGATTATTCCTTGTAAAGATCACACATAAATTAGAAAATCTATACAACCAATTAGCCTTCACAGTTTACATAAAGGTCATGATCTGAAGGTCTAACGCTGCTTTTTAGAAACAGGTCATCTAGAAATTTGTTGTGATTCTAAATAAATAAATAAATAAATACTGCGGAGTATTTACTTATGATAAATTAACTATTTTTAGTGATTAAATATTTTATCAAAGTTTTTAATCATTCAAACATGATGTGACTAGTTTAACTAATAAATTACTCCTTACGGTCCTAAAAACATGAAAGTTATTGATTTTTAAGAGATTTAAAAAAAGTGTATTTCGATATTGAATTTTCAAAAAAAGTCTTTTAATGTAATGGGTAAAAGTATGATTTGATGGGTAGATTATTATTTAAAATGTATGATGTGACAGGTAGGATATGAAAAAATAAAAAGTAAAAGTGACTTTTAAATATAGAAATAAGAAGTGTTTTTCAGGACGGGTAAAAAAAGAAAGGAGAAAAGTTTTCAGGGATGGGAAGAGTTAAAGATTATATTTTGCGCATCAAACAGTGTTAATTAATCAAAAATAGGAATCGTTATAACAGGAACAGATGGAGTATTAAAGAGATAAAATAACTAAAGTTGTCAAAAATATAAGATAAAAGTAAATATTTTTTCACTTTTTTGTTTTTTGCTTGGAAGGCTTTTTTCGTTATTTGGTTTTTATCCAAATTTCGATAACTAGATTGGGTTATAAGACACTACGGCTGAACCACATGAAAAGATTAAACCTAATAAATAAACTATTGTAAATTTGTAATTCAAGAAGTTATATATACTCATTATATGAACACCAAATTTTATTAGAAAAAAAATGAAACTCTTTTATATGAGTGAATGAGTATATGCAATTTCCCCGTCATATCCCTCGCAAGTCGCGACTGCACTAACGTTACAACTTCCCATTGCATGGTAAATTCCCCTGTCTCCAATATTTAAAAAAAAATAATAATCCCCCGTCTCTTGCGGTGGACATACAGAAGCGGTTACGAAAACATTATAAAGCACACCAACCAAACAGGGAATAAACACTGCATGGGAAGGCAAACCTGCAAACTAGTGGCGGTTGCAGCCGTGGCGGCGCTGCTGATCTCCGCGGTGCACCGACCATCGCACGGGGCGGAGCACAAGGTCGGAGACGAAACCGGATGGACGATACCGCCGTACGGCGACTTGTACAGCGACTGGTCGTCCTCCCGGACATTCCGCGCGGGAGACACCCTTTTGTTCGACTTCGACCCCGGGTTTTACGACGTGATGCAAGTCTCGAGAACAGAGTACGACGACTGCACGACGGACCAGCCGTTTGTTGCCTTCTCCGACGAGGCTCCGGTCGCCGTCCCGCTCATGGAGTCCGGCGTCTTTTACTATGTTTGTAGTGTGTTGAATTATTGTTCCTTGGGCCAGAAGCTTAACGTTTCCGTCGAACCAGCGGCCACGCCTTTGCCGCCGTCTCCTGTGCCCCTTCCGGCCAATGGTTAATGGATTCGTTCGGTATAAATTGCCGTCGTCTATCACATGATCAAACTCTACTCTTTGCTCAATACTTATTTATTTCTTTATTGACTTTCCAAAAATATTGGATAAATTAATACTCCCTTCGTCCTTAAATATTTGTCACACTTTTATTACTGAAGTAAAATGTAGATAAATTAATTTTATTTACAAATTTGTATAGAAATAAAAAATAAAATTTGCATATCAAAAAACTATATTAAAACTTTTTCTAAATAAGAGGTGTTAAAAATATTTTATTTTATTAAATAACCAATGAAAACGTAAAAATAAACTAAAGTTCTCACGAATGCTGAAAAAGCAAGTGTGACAAATATTTTGGGATAGAGGTAGTAATAAAAAAGTATAATGTGATAGGTAGGTTAATAACTAATAAATGTAAAACTGACTTTTTAATAGAAATGAAAAAAGAATTTCTTTGGATGGATGAAAAAAAGTTTTGTGAATTGATGAAGTAACAATTATCAAGACAAAATAATATTTTAAAAATATTTTACAAGAAAAATCTAATAAATTATTCTTTTATCAATATCTAATATAAATTTTATTTAACTAATCACAAAAGTTTTTTAATTTTAATTGCAAAAATTCCAATGTTGACAAATTCTGGACAATAGGATCGATGTGCCAGTCGTATACAACTATCTATTTGCTCCGTCTCTGTACAAACGACCTAGACCTGTATTTAGAGTTTCTCTGGGGTTGGTAAAGCGAAATGGGGCCACCCTAGCCCATTAAGTGCTCTACCTCGGGCCATCAACATCATACGCTTTACTGAAATACATTATTTTTTGTTTCAAAGGTAAAGATAATACTCCGTATAGTCTTTTGATTGTTAAAAAAACAAAAATAGAATTCTTTTTAATTGAAAAAAAGTTACAGAGTATAAGACGATAATGGACAAGCCAGATACAGCGTGATCCTTCCTGATACTCCTACGTTTGTAGCCTGCTCATGAGAACACGTCTCCCTCTCATCTGGTCACTGTCACGGTTAGTCAGTCGTTGAATTGATTTTTTTTGTTTTAATGGTAACACATCCAAAAAAATTTAAAAAGAATATTAAATGCAATAAATTTAAATTTCAAACTCTATTTCCTCTCATTTCTATTTTTTAAACAACCAAAAATTTTACAAATTACATAAAGAGTATTACATTTTACAAATTACCTAAGTATATATTGTGGCATTTTTGGTACATCTGCGAAAAATATTCATTTATGTGTAACAACATTCATTTTGCATATTTCTATATTTTAGGTGTAATGAGTATTGTGTTACTAGTAAATAAATATACATTTCATATAAGTATTATGTAATTTTCAAATTAGCATACATATATTTTATACTTTTTCCTTTCCATAAAACTTTTCAAAAATGAAAAAACGGTGCACTTTAAGAATACACAATTTTAGTTTAAATTTCCAATTGTGACTCATTTGTTATACACATTATATGTCATAAACTAAGAATAAAATTAGATAATAATACAAAAATTATATATTTTAAAAGTGTGTCGGTTTTCACCTTTGAAAAATTTTATGGAACGGAGGAAATAATTAATTACATGTTCTGAATAAAGAATTATTCAAATTGAATTAAGTATTCTGTAGTTTGTGATATATATGCGAGAAACACAAGGCATCTCGATGTACGTTACGTTATAGAGGCTCGATTCTGGTACGGAGAGGGGAAATTTTTTTATGCACCCCAATATAGACAACATTTAAAATTTTCACCATAAATAATATAAAAAATATATTGAATTATAATATTAACTTAAAATAAACAAACTTATTTTCAAAACATAGGTTGAAATATCATAATTTTATATTCTACATTTTTATACTCGTATTTTATTTTAGTAGAGATACTAATGGCAGAAGGGTAAGCATTGCAAAAAATGAAAAATCAATACGAAAAAAAATGAGACAGATGGAATAGTTCTTTTTCAAATACTCTATATATCCCACAAAGTTTTACGGAGTATTATTAAACTTTTCAAGTGTTGAAAATTAATGATACTCTGTAGTACTTTTTTGAGTAATGCTAGAATCACAAACAAACAATTCACAAAATTCACAAACTTACCTTTTTAACACTTTTCTAGAAATAAGATGCACTCAAATAATAAAAAATATTTTATTTTAAGATCCACAAAAGGCAAGTTTGTGAAGTTTATAAACTATATGTTTGTGACTCTAGCATTTTCTCATTTTTTTACTTGGGTGTAAGAGATGAGATAAAAGGTAACAGCATATATTGCATTGTACTTTTTTTTTAGTTGTCCCTTGATATTTGTCTACTTTACATTTAACATAAATAAACTGTTATACTCTAGCTTTAACTCTGATGGCCAAGAAAATGACAAAACACGATGTTCAAGAATCGGTAGGCGACAGAGATGGTGATTTACCTTAAACAAAATGAATATACCCTAGACATAAACTTGCATGAACAAACATGTTATATTGTCATTGTGGCATTCAACCACCAAATCAAATGCGGGAAAGAAAATAAAATATTCGTGACCAATATATGTGACTTACAACAATGAGTTCACACTACAGGGGAAAATTTTCCCAGCTTGATTAAATGAAATAAGACAACTTTCCAGGCATCCACCATTAATTAAAACAGAAGAGCCCTTACGAACTTTTATATAAAAAAAAAACAAATACTTTGTCAATAGAAAAACTCACTGCTGGGCACACTGAACCCTCTGAGGACCGCCGCCGCCGCCGTACATGTCATCATCTTCCTCGTACGCCTCTTGTGCTGCTTGCTGCTGTTTCCGGCGCATCTCATCTTCAATGTTAACATCATGCAGAGTGGTCTCCTCACATTCATCCAATTCCATGTCGCTGATTTGCTTCGAAGGCTTTGGGGGAAGCACAGCCTCGAGAGCCTTGCACTGATCGGGGGACAGCGACTCGGGAAAATCAACAGTGAAATGAATGTAGAGCTTCCCCTTTATGAATGGTCTCTGGTACATCGGCATTCCTTCGTCATTTATTGCCTTGAATTGATCTGTCAAATTGAGGGTCAGTAGAATAAGGTCAAGAATATAATCAAGACATATGTTCATTTATGGTTCCTTGCTTTTTTCCACTTCAAAGACACCCCTAAGAAAATTGGAGCAACACCCAAAACCAGAAAGAGCAGCAGTTCTTGAATAATATAGCAAGCTGAAAACAAAACAATACATGCACTTACTTGGCTTAACAACTTCACCAGGCTGTGACTTGATGAGGAGCTGCCTATTATCAAGGTGTGTCAAGATAAATTGGAAGCCACATAGGGCCTCAGTTAGGGACAATGTGTGCTCTACAAAGAGGTCATCTCCCTTGCGCTTGAAATTCGGGTGCTCCTTTTGTTGAAGGACAAACACTATGTCTCCAGTGAGAGTATCAGGCTGCAATCAAAGTTAACCCTTCAATCATCAGTGAAAACGTAGAGTTATACATTACAGAGGGTACAAATATTCAAATTCACTTACGGCTTCATCGGCCTCTCCGGGGAAAGTAATCTTCTGACCATTTTGCATTCCCTTCTCCACAAAAACTTCCAACACCTTCTTCTCCTGTGAAACCTTCTCACCCTTACATTGAGGGCACCTGTCTTTGTCGTTAATCGTCTCACCAGTACCATTACAATCATTGCATTTGTGCTGCATCTGCTGAATCATAGATGGGCCAAGGTGCCGGATAGAAATCTTCATTCCAGACCCTTGACAGCCAGAACATTTCAAAGAAGCACCTGATTTAGATCCTTTCCTAGAAGAACCACAAGCAGACCAACAGGTCAAGACAAGCAATTATATACACATGACAAACACACAGACACTCTCTGGCCCATTTCTTTATCCATTTCTAGTATTCATGACATTAACTCGAATTGCTTATATGTTCTCTTAATGGTATTTCGGACAGACAACATAATCCAAAGCAAGCATTGCGACGAGAATGTGCATGAATTTGTTTTATGCTAGAATGTTTGTGTAATTGGTTTCACAATGTATTACAAAGAATTACATCATCACAGGGACTATCTCAACCATAATATTTTAGAGCACGCATTCATAAAGATCTTAACGGTTCAGCACAGTGCCATACGTGATGTTTGCTTTTTTCTTTTACTCTGCCTCTTATTCACTTCAAACCTCATTCCACCTTACACACTAGTTACACACTACTTTTAAAAATGTGTCCCTCCATCTCATTAAGAGAGCCATATTTTTCAAGGTACAATTTTGAAAATTTGGTGATGCACAACTAATTGAAACCATCAAAAGTAGCTATATTCTTGAATCCTTAACTAAATTGGTATGATTAAAATTAGCTACTTTTTTCAATTTAAACTTTTTTAGCCCAAAAATATGCTGAGAAAGAGGACTCGTTTTTATCAAACATAGTATATGCTTTACATTTTATGACATACATTTGAAAAGTTCAATATGAGATTAAATCACTTTGTCACTAAGCACATAAAACAAACAATAAAAATTTTAATACCATTTAATTAGACATATCTTCTTCTCCAAAAAATACTTCCAAAAATAAACAGACTCTAGATGTTTACAGTTAATCTTAGCTTATTTAATTTTAAGTTATAAAAAACCCACTACATGAAGTGATACCTTTGGAAAGAATCACATCATTGACACACACACACACACAGATTTAGCTTAAGAACACATATGAAGTGGTACTCCGTATTTACTTACCCCTTGCACTTGGTACATAGAACATTACGAGAAAGAGAGAGCTTCTTTGATGTCCCATTGTAAAGGTCTTCCAAAGAAACTTTGAGAGAATGAACAACATCCTCGCCCCTTCTTTGCCTACGGGCTCTGCTGCTGCTACCACCTGTATTCAATGAAAAACTTTATTACAGAATGTTTTGCTATATGCTGAATAACCATGCAACTGCAAAGACATAAATGTAGTGTTTGGATGAGGAGAAATTGGGGAGAAAGAAAACAAAGGAAGAGAAAACACAACATTCAAGGAGTTTTCTCTTGTTTGTTTGAAAGAGAGTGAAAGAAGGAAAGAAAAGTAGATAGATTTCACTCCAAAATATTTTCTCCTCTAAAGCCACAATGGAAGAGAAAACTTGACAAATGACACATTTGCCCTCAACTCCTTTTCATTTTTAACCATTTAAATAAGGATACAAATGTATTTTTACTTTATCACATTTTCTTTCCTCTTACTTTTCCTCTTATTTTCTATACATCCAAACAATAACTATTTTCTTTTACTTTTCTTTTCATTTTCTTTCCTTTTACTTTCTTTCTTTCAATTTTCTCTCATCATCCAAACACACCATAAAGGCCATTGGGTCAAACAAAAAGAGTAACTTCAAATCTCAAATACAGGACATACCACCAAAAGGACCGCCTCCACCTCCAAAGAATGACTGGAAAATGTCAAATGGGTCATGACCACCCCCACCACCACCCATTCCTTCCTTAAGAGCTTCTTCTCCATACTGATCATAAATCTCCCGCTTCTCTGGGTCACTCAAAACCTCATAAGCCTGAGAGATCTCCTTAAACTGAAAAGGAAAACATCACATCATTGACTAAACTACCATCAGTTTACAGAAATAAATAGCCATAAAAGAAAACAATGTTTGATTCTCGTTGGATAGTCACCAATAGGATAGGATCACAACATGCTGGCACTAAGAGAATCTCAATCTTCAACAGGTCTCATAGACATCAAAGAAATCATGATTCATGAATTTCTTCAGCCTCTAAACTACCTAGTGAAATAACATTGGAATTTTCAAGCTGATTCTCTTATCATGTTTAAACTCAAATGTTTGGCGGCTGTAGTTCCAAAGTTGGGACAGTTTCTACTAGTAAGGATCGGTACTAATAGCTTAAGGGCATTATCGATCTAAAACCCACAAATTTTGAAACACGAAATTGAGTGCATCAGAGGACAAAACAGATGCAGAATTTCGTCACAAACAATTTGATGAAATCCCATAAACGAACAACACAATCAATAGCTGAAAACTAAAAGATCATACTGAAAGCCGATACCTTTTCCGGATCTCCACCTTTGTCGGGGTGATTCTTTATGGCGGCTTTACGGTAGGCCTTCTTGAGATCATCTTGCGAAGCACTCTGCGGAACTCCAAGAACTTCATAGTACTTGGTGTTGTTCTCAGTCTTCCTCGGTGCCCTCCCAAACATCTTCGATCTCCTCGGATCTTCTTTCCAAAAAGAAAATCAAACTGAACCGAATCTGCAAAAATAATCAATCGATATTTCACAATTCCTTGTGATTCAGAGATGGATACGGCAAGAAAAGACGACGATTACCGGCGGGGTAATATCAAAGGCAATCGGAGAAAGGGATTCTTTAACCCTTCAGGTGAGCGATCGAAAGAGGGTTAGGGTTAGTGCCAAGCCAGGGATATTATAATGTGAGTGGGGATTCAACGGTCAAGATTGGTTGACGATCGGCCATATCATGCGGCAACAATAGAAGAATCTAGAACCAGGCCCATTTACTTCACGTTGAAGAATTCGGTGGGTAAACCCGAATGCCCGATTGGACAAACTCCCCAACCCGGGAACCCAACAATTTATGAAATGTGAAAACTAATAATGTGGGCTCATTGTTTGTTTTATATATTTTTTTATATAGTTTTTGAATATATAATTTTTAATTTTTAACTTACATCAATTTTAATATTAAAATAAATTAAACAAAGATCGAATCAGACATTGTAACTCGAATAAGAAAGAATGTAGAGAGACGGATGGAGTGTTCTAGATTAATTTTTAAATTGTTAAATTTAAACCTTGTCATTAAATAGTTTTTTTAAATTACTAAAAATTAAATGTTGAGGCCATTGTAACCAAACAATGAGTTTTCCTTTTTTTTCATTTTTTGTGTATGCTCCGGCAAATTTGTGAGGAATGATTTCAAGCTTTTATTTATTATTTCTCTCTTTTAAACTATTCTTAACACTCTAGATTACGGAGTACAATATTTGGATTGAGTTATTTTTTATGAACCATATTTTAACATGTGTGAAAAAACTACTTCAATGTTCATATAAAATGATTTGAAAATAATTTTAGAAAAATCGTAACACGCAACGAGAAGATAATTTTTAAACGGAGAAAGTATATCATAAAAATTATATCAAAAAATTACTCTATTGAACAACAGGTGATATAATTATATTATTTTGTCTAAGTTAACAATGAAAATACTATGGCATATTCTCTTGGACCGAAATTTTAAAGTAAGATGTTATAAAAAAAACTTGGGAACAGTTCGAAAAAATTGCAGCGATTTGAAAAAAACTAAAAGAGTTGGAATAAACTATAAAAAAAATTTAAAAATGCAAGAAAAAAAGAATAAACGGTTGAAATGAGTGTTATATTTTTGAAATTTCATATTTTTATCATAATAATTATACTTTATTTATTTTAATTATTTTTTTTATTTTTTCATATGTTAAACTATTTTTCGTTTAATGCACGCGTATAGCAATATTTTTATGATTTATACTCATTATTTTTTTTTAAAATTCAATGTCAATAATACATATTTTTATTTCTTAATTTGCGTGACACTGTGTCACTCACACATGCATGTATCAAAAATAGTAGAAAAAGGAGCAATAGTTGTTATTAATGGTATACCGTGAATAAGGGTCTATTTTTTGAGTTTTAGAGATATGCTAAGACATGAATTTTAAAATTTAGAATAATGATATAAGTTTTAAATCTAAAAGAAAAATATTTTAAAAAAACAAACATGAAATTAAATTACTTCTCCTTTGGCAAACAATTAAAATATCTTTAAAATTTAAATTCATACTCTCTCTCGGTCAACTTGTAAACTTCTTAGTTATTATTACGGTCTCTCAATAACTTATGTTTGCATATTTTCATCAATCACTTGATAAAATGAAATAATGTTGTCACATCTTATTTTGTAGAATTTTTAATATACTTTTAAACAATGTATTTATATTTTTTATTATATACCAATTTGTAAATAAAATATTTTACAAGACAACCAATTCTAGAGCTGCCAGCCTGCCATCGCCGCACCGTCATTGTTGCTGCTCCGGAGATTGAGCAGCCGCCGCTACTATGGTGCGGACTAAGCCGCCACCGCTCCATTGCTGGAGAGTGAGTCACTCACTGCATCGCCTCTGGAGATAGAGTCAGTTGCTGACAGAGTTACTACTCGTGTAGCTCCAAATTAGATATTTGTGGATATCATGTGAAATATGGTGATATTAAAAAGGAAAGTAGTAGAACTTGAGAAAAATCACAAAGCTCCTTCTAGGGGAGATCTCATATCTCCAAATGTCAACTTCAAAATCTTTTTTTGTTCTAAGAGATGCAACTTCCGACGTGCAATGGGTGTTCGATGTTGATCCTGTCCTCTGAGCAGCGCAGTTTACTTTCAAAGGGTTCAATTTGAAAATAGTAAAAAACACAAAATTTTGACTGGAATTGTGGAAATCCATTAATTCCCTATACGTAAAAAACAATCAATTACGTATTACTTCGTATTATACTCTGTATATATATATGTGTGAAAATAATAATCTATTTATCTTTTAACGTGTATCGTAAAAAGATTGTATTTGAAAGATTGATGAATATTTAAAGGACTAATTATGATTTTCATGGGTAGAATTATAATTACTTGAATAACTATTTATAAACTTTTGAAACTTGAATAACGGTGCAAACCCTTTAAACAAATTGTGCATTTTAGCCTTCTCCACCGGACGAGGATAAAGACCAATTCTTCTGGCTCTGCAACTTTTGATCGGCCATCTTCTTCCCGCAATCATATTTTCCCTTCATCAAACAAACGGTACAAATGCTGTTTTAGGATATGAATTTCCGGAAATGCGGAAAGCCCTTACACCTCATGGACGATTTATCGCCATGAATCTGCAGACGTTCTAATACAGAGATCAGATTTCCGTTTCGATCAAATTCCCCCAAGTACATCTTTTCTGGATCTGCTGGGAATATGATCTATGCCCCACTTGTTGTCTCCTTCTTCGCCCTTCTGCTATCGTTCCCGCTTCTCTTCGAATTCGTCCCGCGTTTTCTCCCTCCGAAACGCCCGGAAATCTCTCTCCAGGACGAGCTTGACGACCTCACCCTTTCCCGCCGCGCCTCCCTAGCCTCGATCCGACAGAGCCGCGGCGTCGCCGGCGTTTCTCACATCGCGTCCGTCAATTCCCGCCCCAAGATAGCCTTCCTCTTCCTCACCAACACTGATCTCTATTTCGCCCCTCTGGGAGAAATTCTTCGCCGGCAACGAGGGGCTCTATAACACCTACGTCCACGCTGATCCTGCAGCCGAAATCGCCCCTCCCGGCGGAATCTTCCACGGCCGATATGTAGCCGCGAAGAGGACAGAAGGGTCCTCCCCGACACTCATCTCCGCCGGCCGCCGCCTCCTAGCGGCCGCACTCCTCGACGACTCGTGGAACTCGTATTTCGCCCTCTTGTCCCAGCAATGCACCCCCCTGCATTCCTTTGGAGATTCGCACCCCAACCCGCCGTGGAGTCCCCTGGATTCCGCAGCTTCATCGAAATACTCTCCGACGAGCCACACCAGTGGGACCGGTACATCGCGCGGGGGGAGGACGCAATGCTACCCGAAGTGACATTCGGGCAGTTCCGGGTCGGGTCACAGTTCTTCACATTGGCACGGCGACACGCGGTGCTGGTGATAAAGGACCGGCGGCTGTGGAGGAAATTCCGGCTATCCTGTAACAGCAAGGACACGTGTTACCCGGAGGAGCACTACTTTCCGACGCTGCTGTCGATGGAGGATCCGGAGGGGTGCACCCATTACACACTCACACGGGAACTGGACGAGGAGCGTCGGCGGAAACCCGCACACTTACCGGCCGCCGGAGGTGTCGGAGGAGCTCATACACAATGTACTGCGGTCGAATTCGAGCTACTCCTTCATGTTAGCGAGGAAATTCTCGTCGGATCGCCTGAAATCGCTCCTAGATTTAGCTGACCGGATCATCTTCAAGGACTAAATTCGGATTGTAATTTGTAGAGACAATTGAGAGAGATTTGGGGTCGAAGGATAATGCTCACTAGTGTATTGTCGGGAAATTTCTGCTTCCTAATTTCTTCTTTTTTTCTTTTTAATATAAGGAATATTAGGGAGTAATTTTTCCGTGAGATGATGATAAATGGCATGACTTGGAATATAAGATGAGAATACTAGTGAGAAAAGAAAAAACAAAGAAATTGATAATGCCTCATTTGATAACAACATTTGTACGGAGTAATTAACTTTAAATGTTTTCGATAGTTTTTCGATGCTGCAAATTGATTTTAAAAAACGATAAAGCTAAAAAAATATTGTTACATGACATTTTTAAATGTTGAAGTTAATGTTAAAACGCAACCAATATCTCCAATTTGGTACATCAATAAAAAGCACCATATGAAACAAAAAATGGATCCCAGCACGGGGAACAAAATAAGTGTTCTATTGGTTTTGGATACAACGAGTGGATCTTGTACTTGTTTATGTGCAGAACAGAATTAAGTAGAAATTGGTACCGTCAATAGGCCGAATGTTTATGGGTAGCAACTTAGCCGCGAATGGAGGCACGAGGCACAGCAGGCAACCCCAGTTCATCTTCAGCCTGTAGATTGGCCAACGGTGTTAGTAAGAGCATGTTCTATTCAACTTATTCTTATCATTATGAGTATTACTTATTCTTATTAGAATCAGTTCAGATCAGATAATTACATTTAGATCAGACCAAATTAGAATTTATTCCAAACAGATAAGTGAAGAGAACAAGCTCTAAGTGAGTGGACTTTTGATTTTAAGAGAGATGGGCGTTGGCAATGTTTCTTCGTACCTGAGTGTTGGCTGGAAATGGAGTATGGCCAGATGGTGCCGCAGGCAAGTTAAGCTCTGAACCCAACACTTGATCAGCTTCACTCTCCTTGTCTGGCTGGAGATACGAAGGGACTCCATCCCCTTCACTCTCCATGTCTGCTTCCAACGCATCAAGCTCTGCACCAATGTCAAAATCATGGCACCACAAAAATGCATTTCTTTGACAACCGTCTCCATTTAAAAAAATTACATTTAGCCATTTAGGCGCCATTTGGTACTTATAATTGGCTAATTCAGCTTCTCAAATCCGAATAAGCACAAGTAGTTTTTTTTTTGAAGAAACGCACAAGTAGCTCTTGACTTTGTTGTTTGGCTGAAATGGATGTTGCCTAACATTTTCTGTCAGAAAATTCCACCGACTCAACCACTTCAGCTAAATAAAACGGAGTACTTGCCAAACAGGCTCACAATCACTCTCTTATATGAAAATTGGAAAATATTGAAGAATAAACATACAGTATTTATTCCTTGCCATTCTCAAGGAACGAAAAACAGATCTTAAAAAAGAATTTCTCATGAAACTGTTACTTAAAATGGTGGGATTTCTTTCTTCCAATTAATCACCATATCTAAATTGGGCATCTAGCTGACTTACCACCCATAAGTTCTTCCTCATCAATGTCATCAGGAACACTGTAGCTTCTACCAAGGGTTTCTTGAATTTCATTACTAACATCCATCAGGTCCATCATTTCATCTTGCAAGTTCTATATGCATCAACCTCCCCGTTATGAGATGATAATGTACTACTCAATTGTTATGAAATAATGCAAGAGAATGTAAAATATAGGAACAGAAGAAAATACAAACGTCAATGTCTTGAATCTTCACAGTTTTCATCATTCCCTTCAACTCTTTATTTGCTGATTTCAAAGCTGTCACCTGGAGAAGCAAAAACAGAAAAAACCATGGAATTCAACTATGAACAAATAAAAGTAATGAAATGAAATATTCCTTATTAAGCCTCTCCCGTGTGGTTGCCAGATGAATTGGAGACTATCTGGAGAAAGTCCTGCTCAGAACACTAAAACAAGAAATCCCTTCCACAGAACAAATGGGTTATCGTCCTACCTCTAGGGAGGTAGGCAGCAGGTTCCAATCAGGTTACAGAATATGCTTCTCCTTACAAGCCGTGAGGTTTGCCCCGTTGGGCGCTAAATCAAGAAGAAGACACACTTTGCTGTGAATCGAAACAGCCGAAGGAATACAACACAGTGACTTCTAGATGAAGATTTTCAAAATTTTAATAAGTACATCCTGTGACCGATATTTAACACTTCATACAATACTTCAATTAGGCATAGATAGATATCAATTTAAGAACGTAACACGTGTGCCAAGTATGATCTGTTTGAATAAGGTGTGTGTGACTTTATAGTTGACTTGGGATTGAAAGTTTTTTTTCACAATATTCCCCAGTCTACCAAAGACTAAAACAAAGGCACTCTCCAGAACATTGTGTTAAAACATGCTACTATCCTATATATTTCACACATGCCACATGCCCACAAGTTGAGCCCCTAAATGGTTTTCGTATGCCAGGAGATATTTTAATTACACACGTAATCATCCTACTTGAGTAATTTATACACAAGGTTGAAGAAATAGAGGATGCACAAGTATGCTATGCAAACACATAAGAAAAAATCACAGGAGGCTCATCAAACATACTGTTTGCTGAGCATCTTTGATCCCTTCAGAAGCAAATGCAACTTGGTCTAGGTTGAACGTCTGGTTGTAGAGCATATCACGCTGACCTTCGTACCTGTTCAGAATTACACGAAGTTCAAGTACGGTCAAAACAACATATATGCTTATTATGTGAAGGGTTACCAACTGAATTAATATGAGTAGATGCAACTGATAAAGCACTATTACAAGAATCCAGTTTCAACATCAATCGAGATATATATATTTAAATTTTTAACTACTAATTAAATTCACTGCCCTACAATGTGTGATGCTTCTACTAATGTTTATCCGAAGAAGGAATGGAAGCACTTCAAATGAACCTCACAAATTTTAAATTTTAGCTAATCCACTGCATCTGAAAGCACATATTCGTCTCACTCTTGTTCAAGTTTTCACCTGCAAAATCTTCTTCAGAGCTAAACTCAGCCTTGTTTTACAAAGTTCTTGTTGGAAATATTTATGTTTCGTAGCACAAAAACATCAAGCATTGAACGTTGAACTTTTGGGTTAAGATCAACATATCTAGTGATGTTGTCATCATACATAACCAGACAACCAGACCATGAACAGAAGCTGTTTAACATATTGTTGTAAATTGCACTTTGTAACTAGCCAACTCAAACTGCTGGAAGAGTGTTCCAGATACCCCCTACCCCGCAACAAATGAGTCCCTATTGGTCTGTTTGCCTTTCTATATACTGTATTGTGGATATGTCTAAGCACTGCAAACCTCAAATGTAAAACTAAACTCATTCCACACAAACATGCTTAGCCTGATTTGGTGAAAAATTCATAGTCCATAGACAAGTTTAAATAACTCACATCCTTTTTTGCTTGAGAATCCTCATGGCTCGAGCTTTGACCGCCTCTTGAGCTGGACCAGGCCTGGTCTTCTTCAACTGCTCTTTGTATCTAGCAAGTTCAGCATCAAGCTTCTTGATTTTATCATCCACTGTATCACCTCTTTTATTGATCTGCAATATTAGGTATTATACGGTTATAAATCTTATCAAAGAATACTTAGTAATTTACAATGTCATTATCACCAAAACACAACCACAGAGATACACTTGATTCATTTATGAAATAAGCAAGGGCTTTGGCAGTAAAATTGCTAGCAAATGCGAGTAAATTATCAACTCATAGAAACACCAGGTCAAAGAAGGGTTGGTCTTGGAAATACTACCCAAAAAAACTATACAATACTATGTTTTCCAGAAGGCATAAGACAGTCAGGTTAGCAGTCTGTCATCATACAGCTACAACAAGATAGCCACCGACATTTATAAATTATTGCAGAAACTAAATAGCTTGGGACAAATACAAGATCACATTTTTTATCTAGTGTTAGCTGCCTACAACTTATATCTTAAGAAGTACGGATTAAGACGCAATAAGATGCACCAAATCTCTACCAATTTAGTGATCTTCATAATCACCTCAGTTGTCTTCAACCAGACTCGATATCATACCCTTGGAAAGCTCCACTTTTCAGTAAACACCATCCAAGAGCAAAATACTGAGAGCATTACGCATCAATACTCTAGAATTAAACATCTCAGTAACAAAGACGGGACATAAAAGGAGGCTATAGCTTTTCAGTTATGTATGATTCTTGTAAAAATACAGAGCTCTATAGATTTCGGCCGCGTTACACAAGCAGGAGTACATATAACATACAATAAAAACAGTTAGTATCAATTCGTCTAGTTCAAATCGTTCCTGAGAATGGAAATAACCGAATCAGATGAATTGGAGATGGACAAAGTACCCGATCGGAAGCGTCTTGAATCGAGGGAGGAGGCTCTTTGTTTTTCTTAACCCCGAAGACTCTCTTCATCTTCTCGCTTGGTTGGGAGAGAACTGAGGTTTCGAATTCAAGCTAGACAGCGGAAGGATTCAGGGAAGAGAATATGTGTGCGCGATGGGTTGAATATATTTCTGCGGTGACGACGTGAGACAGTTGAATTGGGGAAGGAGACTTCGCATCTAGCAATCCCAGAGATATCCTGTCACAATTTTTTTTGTTTATTTTTAATATTCAACATCTTATTTTTTGTTTATTTTTAATATTTTTAAAACTTATTTTTTATAAAGTTTTTAAAAATCAAAATATGTGTGTTTGAAATAAAAAAATGAATTGAAAAAAATTGACATATACTTTATCTACATTGAGTCATTGACCAAAACATTTTATTTTTTTATTTTCTAAAATAAAAGAAAAACCTCTTTGGGCGCTTAAAAGGGGAAATGGGGAATATTAAAAAAAAAGAAAAAATATAATAAAAAATTGAAGAAAATAGAAATATAAAAAAATCTTATCGAAAAAAGAGAACATAGACATATAATAGACATATAGTACGTTGATAAAATTCTTTTCAATCGAAAAAGGTTGTATTTTTAGATGAAAATAACTAAATTAGGAGTAAAATAAAAAGAAAGTATCAAAATAGAATTTTCATATTTTTTTAATCTTAAAATAAGATTATAATATCAATAATGTCAATATATAGTACTACAAATATAGTGAGATACCACTATACAATCTCATAATATGAGAATGCAAACTCTTATTTTCAGATAAAATATATGGAACTTCTATTTTGAATATAGGTATTATGTTTTACTTTTATTTGTGATAACTTTTTTTAGATGTCCCAAACCATTTTATTTTTTAAATTTAAAAATAAAAAAAGGATTTTAAAAAAATGGATTTTATTGGACATCATTCCAAAAAGAGAAATTTGCACTAAATAGAGTTAAAACATAACTCATTTTCTAATGTAGGACTTAAACTTTTTTATTTCTTAAATATGACTTAATAATGTCTAGTGGAAGAATAATGTCCAGTAATAATGGACATTTACTTGAATATTGACTAATTGATAATGATCAATGGTCCTACATTGAGAAATAAAAATATATGGTTCTATATTGGGAAAATCATTATGTTTTAGTCAAAGTAAATTTTTCTTCCAAAAACCGTCATTACTCTTTTCGTTTTTACTCAAAGAATGTTTTCCAAAACTTTTAAAATTGTAAGATATCCCCAAAAAAGTCTTATCAGTCGACTATCTTTTGCTCCCTTAAACAAAAGTACTTTGGTTTGGTATTATTTTCTTTTTTCATTTCCTCTTTCCATATGTTTCTCTTTTATTATTATGTTTCCTTTTTCTATTTTTTATTTTCTGGTTGTTTTAGAAAACAAAAATAGAAATTTTTAGATGAAGTATTTGGTATTATATTTTCATTTTAGTTATTTTTTTTCCAAACACAAATAAATTTTAAAATAAAAAAATAAAAAATAAATAAAAGATAGAATAGTGTCTATGATACCCTTGTGATTTAAAAAAATATGGACCAATACTTCGTGTTTGCTAAAAGGAAAATGCTAGGGTGCCACTACATTGGTGCTACCATGGGTGCACCCATACTTCACACAGACAAACACAAACGATAATTGTCTGTGTCGCACAGACAATTATCGTCTGTGTTTGTCTGTGCGAAACATGGGTGCACCCATGATAGCACCCATGTGGTGGCACCCTAGCATGGTCTTTGCTAAAAAAGTGAACAAACAATAGTCAAAGAGGTGCATGTGCAATATTTTGAAAATTGAAACCACACAAATTCTAGTAACAACTTTTAAAACAATAGAGAGCATTGGAGCATTTTTTTCCAAATCGGCGTGAGGCACTTGAGGTATTTGACCTATGAGAGCGTCTAAAATGACACCAATTACTTTCATCAATTCGTTTAGAGTACCTACGGTGCTCCGCTTGTAAAAATGACGGTTTCTACCCTTTAACTCTCACCCTAAACCCCCACCCCAGCCCCACCCTTGCCCCCCCTCCCGCCCCCTCCCTACCCTGGCAGTACACTACCTAGCAGTGTACTGCCAGGGTAGGGAGGGGGCGGGAGGGGGGCTAGGGGGCAAGGGTGGGGCTGGTGTGGGGTTTAGGGGGAGGGTTAAGGGGTACAACCGTCATTTTTAGAAACGGAGTATCGTAGGTACTCCAAACGAACTGATGTAAGCAAATGACACCGATAATATTGGTGTCATTTTAGACTTACCGTTGACCTATATTCAAAATATTAATGTCTTTTTAAAGAGTACAAAGCATTGGTGCCTATTTTTCTTTACAAAATATATGTATATCAATTTGAAAATAATATAATGCTCATTACATTTATACTGATAACACAATACACATTTCTCCACAGGAAAAAAGTGGATCTAATCTATTTTTGACTAGAGACCCTACCGAAATTTTGGCACGGAATTACTTATCTAAAGTCTCTATCACTACGGGAGTAATATTTTGCAAGTATACTGGCGAGTGGTGGCGACTAGCATAAAAAAGGAAACGGAGTTTGTTCTTATATGTAGAAATAGAAAGAACAAAGAATAGATTAAAAACAGTCACGGTATTCCGGTCTCGGTGTGATGGAGGAGGGATTGAAGCTGCAGCAGAGGCACGGGAAGGCAAGGGTGAGAGTTGCCCGGGTATGGAGAGAAGAAGGAGACGGCGGCGGCGGCACACATCACTTCGCCGAGTGGAACGTCAGCATAAGCCTCCTCTCCGATTGCCTTCCCGCCTACATCGCCGGCGACAACTCCGATATAGTCGCCACCGATACCATGAAGAACACCGTATGCCTAGCTCTCTATACTGATCGAATTATTGTTTTAGGATTCATGTGGAACTTGATCTGTTTATCCGCGTTAGATATTCCGATCTAGACTTTGTAGATTTAGATTTCCTTGGTATGGTTTGATCTATTATTGGTAAATAAACCAGTTTAACTGAAGATGTTTAGAAGAACTAATACAGTTTAAATTCATTCAAGAAAAGTGCTTTAATAGGGGAAAATGCGCTCTGATCTGTTTCATAATCATTGAATTGTATCATTTGGGCCATGGAATAGGTATATGCTAAAGCCAAGGAATGTTCCAAGCGACTCTCAGCAGAGGACTTTGCTATTGAGCTGGCCAGGCACTTCACTTCATATTATAGGCAGGTGAGATTATTATAGAATATATATTCCCAATTATTGGTGCATATGCTTACTGTGTTTCTCTGTTTGGTCACACATGAAATAAATTAGTGTCATGTAAGTTTTTAGCTATTAGAAAACCAAGCTGTTTCACTGCAATTATTAAAGTTTGGTTGATATTAAGATTTCCATGATTGTGTTTCTCTGTTTTTTATATTTATGAGTGTTCCCATAGGTCACTGCTGCTATCATCAGGATAGTAGAGAAGCCATGGGAATGTGTCAACGTGAACGGCCAGCTACATACACATGGTAAGATATCTTAGACATGAGTAAAAAGTGTGAAAGTACACTTCTATATTATTGTTATCTTGGAATTACCATTGGCTCCCATGCATTTCTGAAAATTTTCATGACTTCATGCAAAGAAAGATATTTGGAGAAGTCATATTATAACCCGCTAACCACATGCCATGGATAGGAATACAAGAGCATGAATTCAATTGGAGTAGGATTACGAATGATGAAATGATATGAATATGGTATTGAAACAAATATATTTTGCATTTGTTGACTTGCTGAAATTTACATTTAGAAATCACAACTCACAAGTAGTTCCATTTTTTCTCCAATTAGGGCTGAGGTTGAAGTTAAGGTCAACAGCCAACTGATAGAGTGTCATTAAGCTGGATTTGTATGACTAAAACCCAAAATGGTTACAAGGCATCACCGTTTTTTGGCATGTTATTTCATTTTCGTCGCTACCTTTTAAAATACGAAAGTTCCATCCCTTCTTCTATTTAGTACCAGAAAACCCAACCTCTTCTGCAACTAGCAATCTACTTGTAGCATTTAGCTAATCGACAAAATTCAGTTGTCTGCCTGTATGAAATGTGTTGCGATGGTGGTATGTTGAATAGAACAGGAATGTTCTTTTGATGATGTTTTCTGTTTTCTCAAAGGTTTTAAGCTTGGGTCTGAGAAGCACACTACTGAAGTGCTCCTAGACAAATCCGGCGGATTGCAGGTTACATCTGGTGTTGAGGGTTTAGCAGTGCTGAAGACAACAAAGGTATCTTCACTCAGACTGCTAAACAAACACATGTGTCTCAACTCCAGACTGCTAAACATACTGACATGCATTTCTTCTTGGTTGCTTTCTATTGAGTAAATTTACAGTCAGGTTTTGAAGGGTTCATAAGAGACAAGTACACTATCCTGCCTGAAACACAAGAAAGGATGTTGGCCACAGAGGTTACAGCATTGTGGAGGTAAGTCGTCGTTCATTAGGCTGTTTTTTTATCGCTCTAAATGTAATTAAACTGTTTTCATTCTGATTATTCTTAATGTAAATTCATGTGAACTAGATTTTGTTAAGATAAAGTATATTGGGTAATGACAGGTACTCCTTCAAATCCCTCTCAGGTGTTCCCACAAAGAACCTTTACTTCACAGAGATGTATATGGATGTGAAAAAGGTTCTGCAACATACTTTTTTTGGCCCTCCTAAGGAGGGTGTATACAGTCCATCCGTCCAAAGCACACTTTATGACATGGCAAAGACTGTTCTTGGCAGGTTCTATCTATATCTCTTCTTTTGTCCCACGACTAAATTCACACTTTTCTCTTTTATCTGTTCAAAAATAAACTTCACATTTCCCTTTTTTTTTAAAGAAAAGAATATGTGGTTCACAACATTTCTCTTTCTAAACAAATTCTCATCAGTCATCACACACTTTTCACACCTTCCAC